GCTTATTTCACTGTGTTGTTCGGGTTTCACTGACACGTTTTGTTTACCTGTTTGACTCCACTACAAGACAAAGAGCTTCTCAAAACCTTATTCAAATAGGTTACCAAGTACCTAGCATAGCACTTGCACTAGTAAATACTCACAGAATTTAATTTCCCAGATTTAACTCATTTCACAAGCTCTCTCAAACTGGATTTATTTATAAATAAATGAACCTTTTGATCTACATTAGTTCAGAGATCCATTTCAGCACTAGAATTCTGTAACTCACTGAACAGGGAATTATACTGTTTCTATCTCATAATGCCATGCTTTATTTCCTAAATAAGTCCACGGTCTTTACAAAGTAATTTATCGTTTACCAGATGATTAAGTGTTCAGTGTTGAAAAAAAGCCAGAAAATTGTGAAGAAGATTAGAGGTTTCATAACCTTACCACAAGAATATAAATCTTTAAGTAGGTTAAAAAAATGCTTATACCACTTTCACTTTTCAAATTAAAACCCTCCTTTTTATCAAATGGTATATAGGGTATGTGAATTATTGGATAAAATGCAACTTTTCACTGAAAGCATAATATCCAAATATTAATTTTTATAGTTTAATATTAGTAGTTTTAGCAAATTATGTTCATTCAATATGTATTACTTTGCAACACTTTTCATCTGATATATGATGAATATTTTCTCATAATTTCCTATGTGATGTCTTAACCCTCTCTCATTTTTTGGTTAATACATGCTATTAATGCTTGGGTCATATACCCTCTCCCACTCATTTTACTGAGTAACCTTTCATGTTCATTTTTCAAAAGATTATGTAATTTAATCTTAAATTGCTTTATTCATTTACAAAATGAAATAAACATTCTCTATGAGTATTTATCTATGCTATTACCTTAAGCAGATTAACATGTTTTACTACATCATTGTATTGTAATTTGTTCAGTCAATACCTACATGTTAAATATTCAAGTTGTTTCTCGCCTCTTGCTAGTATTATTACTTTCTTTTCTTTTTTTTGGAGATGGACTGTCACCCAAGCTGGAGTGCAGTGGTGCAATCTCGGCTCAGTGCAACCTCCGCCTCCTGGGTTCAAGTGATTCTACTGCCTCAGCCTCCCAAGTAGCTGGGATTACAGGCGAGGGCCATCATGCATGGCTAATTTTTGTATTTTTAATAGAGATGGAGTTTTGCTATGTTGGTCAGGCTGGTCTTGAACTCCTGACCTGAGGTGATCTGCCCGCTTGGGCCTCCCAAAATGTTGGGATTGCAGGTGTGAATCACTGTGCCCAGCAAGATGTAACAAATCACCTGGCTTCATGTATTTGATGACATTTTATTTTTTATAATAAAACTCTTATATTGGGATTAAGCAGATCAAAGGCGACCTGTATTTGTCTCCCATAGAAAGACTACACTGATCTGTTCTCCCACCAGCAGTGTATAAGAAGATCCATTTCCTTAACCTTCAGTGACATTAGATGTTAACATTGCCTTAGTCTTTACATACTGATGAGTTTAAATACTAAATTATTGCCTTAGATGATCATATTTACATATTGGCTGCTTAGATCTTTTATTAACTGTGTATTCATGAATGCTGTGTGCCCATTTTCTTTTGGAGTATTCATCTTAATTTTATTGACTTGAAGGCATTATGTTTGTAAAGCATTATTTTAAAACCTTCAAGAACACTCGGATGAACTGGGTAATGTGGAGATCATATTCTTGGGTGCTTGCTGAGACTTTGATATTTAAGCTATTTCTCATAGGTGTTAACGTTTGAACAACTGAAACCAACTGACCAAAAAAAAAAAAAAATCTTTGGACATTCTTCCTAGGCACTTTGATGGTCGGACAAATGGGAATGCATGATTATGGATGAAACTAGAGTCCTTGAATATAATTGCACTCATAAGTCAAAGAAGGCAATTCATAACAATTTGGCCCAGCATTTTAATTTTGTCTGTTAAATTATTCATGTGAATACTTTCATGAGTTAAGCCATGAATATTTGATTGGTGGTTGATTCATAACCATAAACTATGTTAGCCCTTTATTTTTCTCATTTATGTCCAATTAACATATATGGGAAGGTGGAGAAAATGTATTCTTCTTAATATGAGAAACATCTTTCCCCACAGACTTATTGAGGCTGTCTGATGAACATTTACTATGACTGCAGGTCAACATTATGCCTGTTCTGGCAGTTTAATAATTGTTCTAATAATAATTCTCATTATGTAGAGAGAAAATATTACAAATCTCCACTTTACAAGTGAGGATATGACATTCAGAGAGGTTAAATAATGTCCCAGAAGTGACATAATATGTTAGTGGCTGAGATTAGATTCAAATCCAAGATTAAAAAGTTGAATATTCCCCACCCCACAGTGGCTGTGATCATTCTCAATAAACCAGACCAGTGTGCACGTAAATCACTGCTCTCTGAGTCTGCTCCATACCTTTTCTCTTAACAGAGCAAATTGCTAAGTAGATATCCAATACACGTTTAGTCATGTCAGTCTTGTATCACTTAACAAAAATCTCTTCTGTCAAACAAACAGGTATTTACAGCCCTCCTGTACACAAATATGAGAAGGTACACAGTTTGGCAGGCAGCTAAGGATGGGTAGCTACATGTAAATATCAAAAGCTGCTATATAAAGGCTAATTTGTAGGTTGTGACATCTGGTAAACTGTAGGTATTCAATTCCTTTTAAGCCTGAACAAAGTATGGCATTTTACGTTGTCAGAGAACGTGCTCCTTAGTCAAAGGTCAGTGAAGATATCAAGTAATTATCCCCATAATTACTTTTAGAAATCCAGAGATGGGCCCCCAAAACATCCCAATTATTTTAGCTTGAGTTACAGAATTCAAATACTTACCTTAATGAGTATGCAGACTTAATAGGATTGGTGTTATCCAGCATTGTAACCTCATAAAATTATCAAGAAGGGTGTACGTATATGTGTGTGTGTGTGTGTATATATATATGAAAGGGTCAAATTTAATGACATACATTTTTCCTAGTAGTATAATCTCTCTATATGCTGACTTAACTGCTTTATGAGAGCTAGATAAGGATTGCCATTGATAAATACATTGAATCAGTAGTTCCATAGACTACTGAACCATGGAAGATCAAAGAATTTCAATCTTCTGGGAATTTATAAAAAATATATTTTTTAACTCTGAATCCCTAGGGATTGGGATTTTTCTTCTGAGATAGGGCCTGGCAACCAGCATTTAAAATCTTCTCAGGAGAATCTGATATGCAGCCTGCTTTAGAAACCACTGCTTCAACCACATAATGCCTCATTCTCATTAGAGCTTTGCTGTTAAAATTAAATACTAATATTTGCCTTATAATTTGAAAGTCTAACATGTAACTCAGCCCAAGTGACTCCTGGGTTTGGAAGTCTTTGATTTCCAGCACAAACCCTGAAATCCTTAAAAATGGGCGTGCAGGTCTTTCTTGTCTTGGTTTCTGACCACCTTTAACTCTCATCTCCTGCCACTTGCTACACATATGTGCCACATTTTGCTCCTTTGCTATTCACAGAGAATGCCAGGCCTATTTATATCTCCTGTTTTGATCTTTAGACTTCCACATTTTCTTGTCTGCCTGTAAACTCCCGGGATCTCAAGGATTCTGCCTGAACATCTAGGCCGCTGGGCCTATTTTCTCACTTTTTCCGCAACATCCCAAGGACTCGTTCCTTGGTACTGACTTTCCAGCCTGAGGCTTTGTTATGCTGTGCTGGGTTATTTCTTTACATTTTTATTTCAATACCTATGTTGGGGACAGAAACCAAATAGTCCAGTGCCTGCACACTCTGGGCATTCAGTAAATATCCCAAATGAAGGAGTTTTCTCAGATATGCATTTTTATCCCCACGTTGCCGCTACAACTCTTCTCAATGCTGTGACAAATGATTTCTTTTTCAAATGCTATGGTTTCTTTAAAAATGTTCTCTTTTTGGGTCTTCAAACTTGTTTGCTGCTCTCTATTAACTGTGTTTCAGTTTGGTATCTAAGCAGTACAATCCGTTTAGTACATCCATTCCTTATAGGACCGCCTTTCTTGTGAAATACTTCCTATTGGATTTTCTGGAGTACTTTAGAGGCAATGATCGGGAAAAACTATCAGGACAGCTGATTGATCTGGCTGAGTTCTGCTTTGGAAGTGGTGTAGGACTGCAGTCCTGAGGCTGCATCTCTCTCTACTCCAAGCTTCTCATCCTCGCAGTGGACAGGAAAGCTGATCTCCACAGCTTGTTTGGAACGCACAACCTCAACTCCAGGAGGTTTGCTGAGATGCTTTTGTGGAGGCTTCAAAGGATCACTCTTGAGGGGGCATGGCCGGTGATCAGTGGATCAGTGATGCACAGCTCACGCTTTCCTTTCGAATTTTGTCTGTGGACCTCTCTGATCACGGAGGATGTTTTCAGATCCACTGCGTCCCACAGAGCAGGGAAGCGGGATCAGTGAGGCCCCGGGGCACAGGCACTGGGCTCGCCTATGCCCTGCATGGAAGTGGAAGGTGCAGGGAGGGGCGGGGACTGTGGAACTGAGGAAAAGCAGGCCGTGGGGTTATTCCCTGAAAGAATCCCGACCTGCACATAAACTGGGGTTTCCTCAGGAGCGACCTGGGGTTAAGAACAGAGAGGAAAAGGATGTGGGAGAGGGGAGGAGGAAGCAGAGGGGCAGCCCAGGTGTGTCATCTGGTCTAAGCACAGCGGAGCTCACACGCCCTGCTCCTGCCACGCTTTGCCACAAGGCTTCCTCTTGCATTGCAGCCTTCCCGCCCAAAGCGCAGCTTCGGTACTTTAGGTGTATAAAGGGGGGCCATCAAGGGAGCCCAAATACGGATGGGCCTGCGTGACATTCCCATGGCTGCAAGTTGCCTCAGGGTCACCGAGAGGGCAAATGAAGCCAAGCGCAGTCACCTCTGTGGAGCTGACCCAACCGCCCTTCTTCCTTCCCGTCCTGCAGGTGGCTCCCTAGCCCGGCCCGCACCTGTGCGGGGCCTCCCGCTGCTCCGCGCGCAGGTGGCGGCGCTCCTGGCCCGGAGGCTCCGCCGCACGCTGCGAGCTGGGAAGAGCACCCTCGCTGACCTACTGCTGCCCGTCCTCTTCGTGGCCTTGGCTATGGGCTTGTTCATGGTGAGGCCCCTGGCCACCGACTACCCTCCCCTCAGACTCACACCTGGACAGTACCAGTGGGAGGAGACCTACTTTTTCAGGTAAGTGGTTTTTGTTCCTTTGACTTCAAAATTATGTCAAGGCAGATTATGAATTTCAATAGCTTTGATCCTTTTGTGAATTCTAGATAAAATCTTGAAATATAAATGTTTGCATTGTTTCCAAGAGCTTCTCATTATTTCACGAGGAGATCCTTGGAGAAGCTCTTGCTCCCCTGAGGCTGTCTCAGGACAGGCGCTTAAGGCTAATAAGGCTCCCTGGCCTCTGAATCCCGAGCCACTGGCCCCTCCTTATGGTGCTAAGTCCCTGCGTGAAAGGGCCCATGCAGCCACCCGCCAACCTGCAGAGGGCTGGCGTGCCCTGTCCCACAGAAGGGCCCGATAGACTCAGGATTTGTAGGATTCTAGAACGTATTAGATATATGTGGTATATTTAACAAGACCCTCCACAGTTGTTTCTGGGACAACAGCCACACAGTTGCACACACCTATTTGCAGAGAAATGTATGACAGCAGGGACAGGATGAAAGACCTTAGCCTCCACAGGCCAGGGTCAGGCAGGGTCTGTTGCTTGTGCGTTCAGAAGAGCCTGGGTGTTTTCCCACCAAATGAATTTATGCAACTCAGAGCTTTCTGGATTGTAGATTCATACACAAGGGTTGGGAACCTACAATAGGAACCCATTCCCTAAGTTCTTTTGCTTCTGTTTAGTGGGCTTCTCTCTAGATTCAGGAGAATCTGTGCAGCCAGGGAGGCCTGACCCCTGCCTGACATGGCCATAGCTGTGATCACAGACATCACTACATTGAATATGCAGAGTCATCTTCAAGGTGGATATGATTTTTCACATTTAGGGTGGGGAGACAAATGACTGGGACTCAGTGATACTGGTTTACAACTGCACAAGTGTACTGCCTGGGCTTTCATCATGAAGACAACTGAGAGGACCGTATGGGTCCCGCTTCTGTCAAATATATATGCTTACTAAAATAAGCACCTTGACCAGCTAGTCTCTAAGCACCTACTAATAGTTGTGTGACTTTTACAGTGATGTGTAATTTGGAATTAGATTTAAACAAATACAAGGACAAAGGAAAAATCTATGGTGAATTCTTCAGTTTGTTCCCTTCTCCTTTGGTTGATGATGTTTCTTCTCCTCTGGATGTCATGAGAAATCGGGTCTGAACCAACGGGAAGAGTCCTGCGGTCACTGTTTGTCGACTTGCATCCATGTCCCTAGTATCCCCTCAGCTGGCTTTCCTAACTTCTGGGGCCATGTCTTTTATTACTCTGCCCTCATTCGTCTTTTGTGAAGTGCTTAAAATGAACATATCAATGCCTTTATTCTCTCCAAATGTTCAGATTTCTGTCACACTCCTTAACTATAAAAGGGATGTCACATATTTTGATTATAAAATATATTTCTTGAAGAAAATAATACAAAGCACAGGCAGCCAAAAAAAAAAAAAAATCACATGTAATTTTACCAGAGATACCTACTGTAAACCTATTGGTATAATCTCCTTATAATATACATATTACTTGTATCTATATACATTTTTTATCACAATGAGATCATACGTGCCATAATATCTTTGTATCTCTTCTGATAAATCAGTACAACCATTTTACCCATGAAAACTACAGGAGCCTGACTACTATATGGCTCTATAGTAGAGCCACATTAATTTATTGGAGGCACATTAATTTATTTAGACAATCTCTTCTGGGGGCACATAAAGGCTTATTTATTTTTTCTATTATAGGCAATGCCATATAAGAATCTTTGTTTAGTTAGATTTATGTGACTACTTATTTTTACTATCATACATTTCTATTAGAATTTTGGGGGGCAAAGTCATCAGTATTTTTATGGTAGATATTGCCAAATTACCCTTATAAATGTGTGCCAATTTACAGTCTTATAAAGTCATTGATTCTTTTGTTCAACAAATATTTACAGTGCACTTACTATATGCTAGGTACTGTTCTAGGTGGTAGTTATATGTATGATTAGAACAGGCCAAAACCCCTATTCTTGTGGGAGAAAAGAAGCTTATTTCTGTAAATTCTAATAGTTTTGATAGTCCACACCTGATATTTTATTGCTTTATTAGGCAGCTTTTGATTACTATTGAAGTTAAATATTTTCAGTTTTTTGGTTATTTAAAATTTTACTTTACGTATTGAATATATTAAGCATTATCTATATTATAAGTGCATTTCCACATCATATTTTCCTTCTACCTGACTTCTCCTTCACTGTCCTCCCCGCTCTCAACTTTACCTCTTGCCTTTGTCTTCTGAGACTGTTGAGAATTTCTCTACATGGTGTTTATTTCACTGATACCATTTTCAGTTGACTCCAAATAGCCATTCATTTTCTCTACTGCATTATTAATTTGGCGATTATATTTTTCATTAGAAAGCATTTTTCTTACTCTCCCAGTATTCATTTTTCGTAGAAGTAATTTACTTTAAAATTATTTTGTGTCTGAGAATTAAGATATTTTTTCTTGTATTTCTAAGAGTTACTATTTTAAAGTAATATAGTTGTTTGTTCTCATTTTCCGTAATGTTACTTAAATTAAGAAACAGAGGAGTTCACATATCTGGAGGTTTATTTGCTCATCCTTACAGAGGAGTCCTGCCTGCCATTGGCTGTAGTACCAGTTTTTTTCAGTGATTGTAAGTGCCCCACTTGTAATGGTTAATTTCTGTCTAAAGAGAGAAAAGAGCAAGTTTACATTTTCTCAGTTTTTATTTTAGTAGCATGGAAGTTTAGTTGGTTATGAGGAAAAAGTAAGAAGCTACCAGAGAGCATCCACATTGATGGAACATTTTCTTGCTTTTTTATTATTATCTCTAATGTTTGTGGTGATATTCAAAAATTGGTGGGGAGAAGAACAGCTACCATCCCTTTATCATTTTCTCGCTGCTGTAACTGCTCTTGTTAAGAACTCTCCACTGACCTTCCTTACTTTTCTTCTGTGTACTGGATCCTCTCTGAGCGTGTACCTTGGTTTCTCTGAAGACAACCCCTGTTGTCTTACATTTGTATTAAACTTGCCTCTTTTCATTCTCAAATGTGTCCTGGTATGAGAGAGAAATGATGTGGCCATTCCTTCTATATTAAAGCTGAGCACCATGGTCTAAATCTTGGCACAGGAATGATTCACAAAGAGGCCCAGATTTTCACGCCTCATAGTCCTCCTGACTCCCTGTGCACACAGGCTGCCCATGGTCACCTAGCACCCATCCTTGCTGCTCCAAATGTGGGACAACCCCATTTTATAACATCTGTGAGCATTCTCCTTTGGAAGGTATATAGGATTGCCATTACACTCCCTTAATTTCTCCTTAGGGTAACTCCCTGTTGATAGGTGCATAATTCAGGCCTGCATATAACTTTCAAAAATCATTAATGCATTAGCTTTGTGTTGATTTGGATGGCATGTGTAAGTCTTATAAGTGTTTTGACAATTCTCAATAGAGCCCTGTGTTTCTACAATTTTAGAGTTGAGAAAATACAACTATATGTCTACATTAAATTCACTGAAAATTTCTTGCAGAATACAAATCTTCATAAAAGCACAAACCGGAAGAAATGCACCAGAGAGGTTCTCTTCTACCTGAATCCTTCTACAAATGAAGGCAACAGATAGCACCCCCACAGTTCATAGAGGGTTTGGGCTTTTTGGGCCCGAATAAACCTGGGGCTTTGTCAACTCAGTCTCCAGTGGTCTCCAACTCACGTGCTTTGAGGCCAGGTGGGGAGCGAAGGCATGACATCCACAGGGCTGTAAAGCTTGCAGGAAGATGCTTGTTTTGTGACTATACCTTTCTAGCACATTGTCTTCACAGACTGAGAGGGAAGAGCAGAAGTATGGAGCATGTCTGTGCTGGTTTTGGGTCTGGCCAGCCACTCATGACCCAGGCTTCTGACTCAGTTTTATTCTGAATCAACTTGCTCTCTGATTGCTATTTTGAGAGGGCTCCAGAAATTCTCCCTTCCCACTGAGAACTGTGAGAGAAGGGTGGCAGGGCCTCTATGCCTGTTCATGGTGGATGTGAGCAGCACAAAGCAGCCCCAAAGAAACTAGGAGAGGGCAGTACAGCTCTGAGAGATGCAATGTGAACACAGCTGCATCCGCTTGCACACATCTGAGGCTGGTGAGACCTGACAGACCTGTTGCAAAACCTCGAGCAACTCCACATTGCCCAAGGGATGATGTCAGCACATCTTAACACACACTGCAGGTCCTCCTGGTGCCTCTATTACTCCCTTTAGTTCATTCTCTGAACTTCAGAGGGACACAATCATGCATGATGTTGCTGCATCTCTCAATGTTTAAGGAAATGGAAACTACCTTCCTCTCCTCAGTCCTCTGCCACTCCCACTCTATAAACTCTAATGTTCTCAGCAAAATATGAACACTTTCAAAACCTGGCTTGGATGTCTCCTCTTTGAAGGAACCTCTGTGGCTGCTCTGTCATCTGAATGTCTGTCATTGCTTTGTGGATGTCACTGTGGCTTAACTTAGTGCTGGAGATTCTTGCCCTCCTTCCTACAGGGAGACTTCTTGGAGGGTAAAGATCAAGATTTCTTCATCTCTACCGTTAGTTTCTGCCACCATGTCTAGAAATGATTACTTTCATTAAATCCTTGTTAAATGGAAACACTCAATGAAAGTGAAATGTACCAACAATGTCTTCTAGAAATTAACTTGGACAGGTAGCAGACAAACAAATGGAGCATGGAAAGATAGCTCTCAACATATTAAAAATATTTAGACTCCATGACCTCATCCTCTGGGATGGGGCTCTTAGTAAGGACTCAGGAGGACTAAGTAAGGACTCAGTAAGGAGGAGATGCTCTTAAATTCATAGCCAAGTTCACTGCATTAGGAAAACCTGTGAGTCCTCCTTGAACATGGACCTGATGCTGGCCCGTTGCCTGCTGAGTTTGTTCCTACCCCCAAACTCTCTCTCCTTTTCTCCAAGTTATCCAACCAGAAAATGTACTAGAAGGAGCAAGTGTG